TCTTTCAGACCTTCCTAAATCGCTTCTCTGCATAGCTTCGCAAGTTCAAACATTGGCTGATGACTGCCTGTAGCTCGTGCCATCCTTGCGTTTCAGCTCGATAGTTTGCGAAGAGAGACTTCTCTTGGCAACATGTAGACTCTCTGCTTTTTTAGCACAATCATGAATTGGCAGACCGCTTGTAATTCTCCTCGATATTGTTGATAACACAATCTTCGAGGAAATCGCAATAAAAGTAAAGATGTTCCGAATAATGACGTTCTTGCTGCCTCGTTCCGTGATCTCCACACGCTGAAAACAATATCTGTGAGAAGACGATAGTCTGATACGCGTAAAACTTCTGAAAAACAACGACGTCGGCCAGGCAAGACTTTAGAATGACTATGATACGGTCTGCTTCACTTTTGGACTCTCAACCAGATTAATTCCCGGCCCATCGTGATTGAGAGGCCTCATGAAACTGCGATTCATCATGGGTAATGTTGGTCTGTATGACAAACTCCGACAGTGTTTCGCCCTATTCATTATACCTTATTCTGTGAAATCACATATCGTACTTTTCGGCCGCTTTTCTGAGGCCGAGCCCTCCTCCATGTAAAGTTAGGCTTGTCCGGAGAGTCTCCACCAATATTTGAACTCAAGATCCAGTAATTTCTGACGAGTAGCCAGAGATACGTGTGGTCTGGCGTAGTTCTGGTAAAGGGCAACGTCCTGACGTTTGGCCAGTTCTGGGCGCTCTTGCTCTGCTCTGTCGCTGCCTTCGAGTTGTCTGGCTGAATTCAGTCCCTTTACGGAGTTGTCGTTTGATTATGCAACAACAGCTTATTATAAATGGTGCCCTTCCAATCCCACCAGCGACACAGCGTAGTCTTCCGCACCTGGATTTTGGCTGCTCATTCGGAAGGTTTCACGATCCACGATCGCTTCTGCTCCATTCACTGTACATGACCCACTTTTCGTCCGACGTTGTCTTGGGTCCCAGAAAAGCTCGTTTCCGTTCCATTCGAAAAACGAGTCTCATCCAGACATCAGTTATATCTCATACTTCGCTCGGTTTGCGAGATACCCCAACATCAAGGCGCTTAACAAAACCAAGTTCCAGCAAATGGAGTGGGTGGTTGATTTCGAAGTACTAGGTCTTTCTCCTATTCCACGAGCGGTGATATGCCTATCCGTAGCGATTAACTTCTTGATTTGTCGTTTTCAATTGATGATGGCCTTACTGGGCGTTGCCGTCCACAATCAATTACGCGTTTTAAGGTCATCTTAAGCATTCTTTGCATAAACGAGACAAATCTTGCTGCTCTCTCATTGTTGGGGAAGAAGGAAATCGTCAGGTTCCAAAGATGCACACGACGAGTCTTCACTTCCACACAAGCCCTACACAAAAAAATTCCAAGAACTGTTACCAATGTCTAAACAGGGTTATAGGAAGGACTAACCCTTTTAAAGATATGTAACATTGAGTGGGTATATGAAGGGGATGCCAAACAGTTGATGAAGCCTGGTTGTTCAAAAACGGTGGGAACCTTGCGGACAACATAATGTAAGGTTTCTGGCTTCTCTTATTCGTAGCTTGATTTTGTTGCAGTCATCGAAGTTTGTTACAGCCGATTCGAGCCGTATCTTCTCGAACACAAACGTTCAATAATTGTCAAGATCTGTTGAAATCTATGTTCATGGCCATGTGATTGTTGACAAGAAAATATACATCCCAACCCCTGCGTCGACATATTCCAGGGAACAGTTCTTACCTAGTATCGATAACGACAGCGCGTTTGACAGACTACGCCTTATTTCTTCGTCAGTCCGATGACACTATATTGATTCTCTTAGTTCGCATCATCAGATTCCGATACGCTCTTCCGATGCAAGCGTTCGTGCAGTGGGAGTGCACTTAGTGATCTCAGTGCTTCTCTTGCCGGCCCCTAGTTTTTACCAGCCTTTCCGAACGGTCATATCCAGTGCTTCCTCAGGTTCATAGGATCGAGACCTTTTCATGTTTTTGGCATGAGAGCATCTACAAGTAGCTTGTCAAGCTCTGACGTGGAGGCTGAGTAGTCTCCGTGTAGCTACTTAAGCTACAGAAAAAACAAAGGGCTTATTCACTGAAGGCTGCTTGAATCGTCTCTCTTTTATTTTCCAGTCACTCAAATGCAAGCTTTTGGCTCGGCCGATGATCAGATGCCAAACGCACCGACAATATCCACGCACATACATATGCATGGAACTGCAAGACGACGGAAGACCAGCCTAGCAGGGCTAAATCTGGGATTCCATTTTTGGATTTACCTGGGTTTTTGGGCAATACCGTTGGCTTTCGGTCTTCAAATTACTTTCCTATCCGTCATCCGTTGTCACGCCGCGTATCCAACTGACCAGAAGCAAAGATTCAGACACTAATTTCTATAGGTAGCGGACATTCGTTCGAACCAGAATGACTCGACGAGCAAAGCACAAGGGCGGCCTCCGTCGACTTATTATCGGGAAGTGATTTCAAACAAGAAAATACTGCAATAAAGGCTCAAAGGATTAGTGTGGCAAATTTTCGGCATCATATCTTACTGAACAGAGTATTTCAATAGATTTACACAAATAGTTGGCCATTATTTGTCGTTACAGCACTTTGTTGACCGACTTTTTTTGCGGAAATATACCACTATCGCTTGTGACAACCCTTTGTTACTCGGATTTTCTTACGAAATCATTTTCAGGTGTGATGAACACTTGTGAATTGTACCGTGACTCCATCATCGACTACCGTGGGACTGGGCAAATCACTTACGACAGTTCGACGGTCTACTTCGATGGAATTCAATGCAAAGGGCCGTGAGAGGCCTATACAGTGCGTTTCATAATTATAAGGTCACTCCAGATTTTTGCGATTCTGGAGAAAGCAACCGGAATGGAATTTTTTGGCAAATACTGAAAGATTCTTCGTCACAGTGTACCTCCGTATTCAAATTTTGGTCGCAATATCCTTCACCT